AGAAAAACACAAAAGGAAATAAATTAGGCATAATCCATTGCTGACAAAGTGTTAAAACAGAAAAACCAATAAACCACCAAGAGGAATTACGCATATAAGTGAACAAATTAATAAGAGCTTACTTTTCAGAGAAGAATAAAAGGAGAAAAAAACCCATGTGAATAGAACATGGATGCTACAAATGGCTCGCAAATCTCGAAAAAGAGAGCAGGGTTGGGAAGAAGCGAAGCTGAAGAATTAGGCGAAAGGAGAGAGGGCAGAGGCAGAAATGAAGAAGCGAAGGACGAAGTGAGCTGAACGTTCTCGTGAAAAAGAGGAAGAACACTTTCCTGAAAAACATACCGTGTCCGAGTTCAGTTTGAGCATATGTACCAACAATGCCTCTGGTTACAGCCAGTGGCAACCAGTAGTCCAGCTGATCGTCATCTGTCTGTCCTTGAAGAGTCGGAATAAACATTGCGTAGTGCAGTGACATAGCGTGGAAGTCACGTCCCATCACCAAACTATAAAAATTTTTATTAAAAATGACACAAAAACCGAAGCAGCCTTCACAGCTGCCGTTCTATAAAAGCGCATCTTTACTTGTGAATGCACTGCTAGTAATTTTCCAGAGCTGCTGTAACCGGAAATCCCAGTGATCAACCTGCTAATGATGACAAAAACTTCTGGGGGTAACCCTGGCATAAATTCCTGTATTCACCCTGTATATGAACGACTAAAAAAACTTCTGGGGGTGACCTTGGCATCCATTTTCAGGCAGTTTTTCAATTTTCCTCATTTGGCAAAGATTGATAGATATATCGCATTCTAACCTCCGCCACTAATGTGGTCGTTCAATTCGACTAATCAACTATCCTCTCAAACTTCTCAAGAATATTTTTCAATAGAACTGTATACTTTGACGAATGGAAATCTGCAGAAATGCGCCAGTAAAATCACTGGCATGACATCTCTACATCGACTCGAAGCGCGTTATTGGTTTCCTTGGTACATTATGTTCATTAGTTTAAAAATGAAAAATTAAACCTTC